CATCCCAGAGCTCTTACATCATGCTGGTCTGTGAAGTCTACAATAATAATGATAAAAATCTCTATTTGAAAAGTGTGCAGAGCTCTTAGAAAATAAAGTGGTTACTGTGCCCGATTTGCAGTACATACGACAGGTTTTGCGCAATAATCAAGTATCTGCTGGCTGTTTGCAACCAATCGATGCGTTTCGTGCTCGGCAAAACTGTTTAACTTACGTCCAATCGCGAGGGCGAGAGGCGGTCTGATCGTGCGACAGATCCAGTCAGTGTCGCAGGTCGGCAGGTATTGCCCAATCAGGGCGCGAGTTAATTGTGTCACGCTTTTGGACATATTTGTAATTTATGCATTGCTAGGTCGAGTCAGAAAGATAGGCGCGGTCGGTAGGATGGGAGGAAACTGTATTAGACAGGCCAAGTGTAGCCATGCGAAAAGGCAGGAAAAAGCAGCAAGACGGGGAATGCGACGGACTGACGGACGGACAGACCGACAGGTTACAAGGTTAGAAGCGGGGAGATAAACTGGTGAAGTCGATCGACATACTCGTTTTCTGAGCGTAACGTCAGTCCCACCGGTCCGGATTGGAGTCCGAAATCTCTGTTTATCCGTGATATGACGTCCACAGAGTCAATCATCCGGAATGCCACCTCGCCGCTAAAACTCTGTGTGGGGCATTGACTAGTGTACAAGAAACAATTCGGAAAGTTTGGAGCTGACAAGAAACGTGCAAATGCTCGCCACGTGATCGAAGTCGAGTCGTACTTGTAGCTCCATACACGTGCTGTTGTGCTGCCTTTTCTGGCTTCCTCTTTGGTAGACGCAAACACTGAATAGTTCCACGATGTATCAAAACTTACCACTTCGTCTGGCTGCAGTGATGGGTACACATCTTGAAGATTCGACACGCCCACACCGGAGCGTAAGACGTCGGCGAAAACGAGAGCTAGCGACACAGCTCCGATGAAGAACCGCAGCCACGAGAACGGGAGATGGCGCTCGAACACTTTGTCACGCGCAGCGAGTTGTCGGGCATGAGTCTTCTCAATGAGAGCAGCTGGAGTAATCACCTTCTTCCAGCTCAACGAGTGCTTCTCTGCATGACGTGAAGCCCACTTGGATAAAGCCATCAGCGCGCGAGTACCATCTCCACAAGTCGGAGTTACCCGAACGGGGGCCATCACGAGACTGGATACTAAAAAAACACACACACAAAAGAGAGACGCAGGGTCTACTTGGACACTTGATAATTTTAGCTCACCTCGAGATTGTCGCTTGTCCGTTTCAAGCCGGAACAAACGAGATATTATTGCTACAGTACCCCCGTCTTCATCCAGCGTCTTATCTTTTAAGAGTGCGTTGTTTTTCGGCGTGCACAACAATCTTTTCATCTCGCGACAGACCCTTACGCTTACGTACCGCTTCGATGTATCGTCTCACGTAGTTGTGTTCGTAGACGCGTTCGCCAAAGTCCTCTCGCTCCAACTCTGTCTGCGGCTGGAA